GGTATGCGGCTCTGGACGTGGGATTCAAATCGGCCTGGAGCCTGAAGAGCAGAGAACAACTGGTTGTATCAAGCACCAATGAAGTTTATCTCGCGGAGGAACAGCGATGGATCCAGTGCAGCACCAATCCTCTCACGAGTTTCACACACTTCAGGCAATTGGCATCAGCTGGAGGACTCGTTCTTGCAGAGGCTTCGACTGAGGCAGACTATGGTATTTCCTTGTGCGTTGGAAATCCACTGACTGGATCTTGGGCTTGGTTACGGGAACACCTCTCCAGCAACAGGAAAGGAAGCGGTGAAGATCTGGCTATAGAGGGTGATGCGTTCAAAGCGATACTGGCCGACCAAACTGTGATCCACACTTTCGACTCGTCGACATGGTCTTGGACTTCTGAAGATCTAGCTAAGCCACTCAGCAACCTGGACGATTATTACGAGTGCAAGCGGTTTACATTCAACGGGAGGCTATGAAACGCTGCAGTCACGTATGAAAATCTGGTCGTTATTTCTGACGGGGAGAGATACTTCACCCAGGAGATGACCCTGACTGTTACCTTGGCGAAGGCAGACACTTGTATCATTTGCAGCAGTGGCTATGACAGGAGCTTTCTCTTTGATGTGGAGAAAATGGCCTGGACGGAACTGGATACACCATCCATTCTCGTATGCTTCAGTCCAAACTTTGACATTCACCCCGGGTACGTGAGTCTAGTTCATTCGTTTCATGCTCTAATTAAACTTTCAGGGATGCGCCTATGAAACAACATTGTGAAAATTGCACGGCCATGAAGGAGATAATTTGCCAATACGAAAAACGGATTAGAGAGCTTTTGAGGGAGCGGAAAAGGTACATAACGTGTATTTGATAAAGGATATAATGCTATTGTTTTTTAACAGGAGACTCTGCTGGAAATGCCAAAACCCCATGCCGTAGGAGTTACCAGCTTTTGGATTTCTAATTCCCCAAGCAAGGTTCGTAGCAAGCAAGTTTTTTTCTGATTTGTAGCATTCTGATCTCTCTTCCTTGGATCTCTCTGAGCAGTTTCCTGTGTACCATCGATCAAACTTAGCAGTAACAACGCTGACATTCTTCCATTTCACAGCCAGTCCACTCTCAATACGTCCTGCAGGTAATAAATTTTCATTGTAAGGCATTTCATAGTTGATAGCCGCTGCTACCAGGTGTTTTTCTTGCATTTTGTGGACACCTACGACTCCAGTATTTTCTTGCAACCCAGAGCTCATACAGTAGCGGATAGCGACGTAAGTTATTTCACAACTTTGGCTTTGGACGATTTTTTTATTTTTTTTTCCTATTTTTCGGCCTCGTTTTTTTGCCCGACCAAATGCCCCGAAAGCACTCGGGTCGCGGGATCAAGCTATGATCGAAAAAAGAAATTCACTCCAAAGAAAAGGATGACTCGGTATGGAAAAGTTTTGATAAGCAATTTTACTCTCTTCGTAGTCTGGTTTTCTAACCCATGCGATGCCGCCTCACTCGTCTGGGTTGCGATGGTGTCCCTCCCTGGAAGAGATTCCACTACTCGGGCACCTGGGCAGCCACAAACTCTTCTTCCTCCCAAGCGCTGCTGCTCTCCTCCATCCGGGCACTCCAAGCTTGCGCCATCGCCAGAGATCTCGAGCTGGGCAGGCTCCTCCACTCGAGCTCTCGCCTCCGCGGCCTCCACCACAACGTCTATGTCGCCAACACGCTCATCGCCATGTACGCGAAGTGTGGCAGCATGGTGGAATCCCAGTCCGTGTTTGATGCCATGGCCTCCCCTGATCTCGTCTCGTGGAACGCTCTCATCTCCGGGTATGCCACGAACGGCGAGAGCGAGCTCGCGCTGGAGCTCTTCTCGCGTCTCGGCGATGGCGTCGTCGCCGCCTTCCAGCCCAATGCGAGGACTTTCCTGGCGGCTCTCGTGGGGTGCTCGAGCCTGGCAGCCAAGGAAGATGGTCAGTGGATCGGTGGGAAGATCGTTAAGTTGAAGTACCTGGAGAGAGCAATGGAGATCCACGCTCGAGCTAGCCGGTGCTGCGACGACACGGATGTTTTCGTGGCCAATGCTCTCGTCGACTTGTACGCTAAGTGTGGCAGCCTGGAGGACGCCAAGAGAGTGTTCTTCCGCAGCATCCCGGCTCCCAGCGTCGTGTCTTGGACGTGTCTAATCGCTGGCTGTGCCGAGAACGACCATGGCGAGGAGGCTCTCGAGTTCTTCGACCGCATGCAAAGCGAGGGGTGCCGTCCAAACTCTCGGACTTTCGTTGCCGCGCTCACGGCCTGCTCCAGTCTGGCTGAGAGGCTTGGACGAGTCGAGTGCTTGGAGAAGGCTCGAGTGATCCACTCCCAGGCCACGGCTCTCGGCTACGATCGCAGCGAAACGTTTGTAGCGAACAGTCTGGTCGACGTCTACTCCAAGCTCGGCTCCATGGCGGACGCACAGGCGGTGTTTGACGGCATGGATCGCCGGGACGTCGTCTCGTGGAACTCCCTGATGCTGGGATATGAGGAGAAAGGTGACAGCGGCAAGGCCCTCGAGTTGTTCGACCGGATGGAAGACGAAGATGGCGGCGGCTGCGAGCCGAATACCCGGACACTCGTCGCTGTGCTGAATATCTGCTGTGGACTCCTGGCTCGAGAGGTGGCCGAGAGCGTTGCTGGAAAGGCCAGCTGCTTGGAGAGAGTCGTGGCTGTCCACTCGAGAGCTGCGAAGACGAGCTGTGCAGCGGACATGTTCCTGGCCAACAGTCTGATCCACTCCTACGCGAAGTGTGGCCGCATGCCCGAGGCTCGCGAAGTTTTCGACCGGATGCTCCGCCGGAACGTCGTGTCATGGACGTTTCTCATCCTGGGATACGTCGACAACGGGGACAACAAGCTGGCTCTCGAGGCTTTTGCTTCCATGGAGCTGGAGAAGTGTCCGGTGGACTCTCGGTGCTTGGTCGCTGCTCTCAGGGCCTGCAACACACAAGACGGGAAAGCTTGTAAGCTCGAGTCACTGAGAAACGGGATGGCTGTTCACTCTAAAGCAGTGAAGAGTGGTCACGACTCTAATCCTTACGTAGCGAGTACCTTGATCGACATGTACGCCGGTTGTGGCAGCATGGCGGATGCTCGGCGTGTGTTCGACCGGATGCCGACGCACGACGTTGTTTCCTGGACGGCTTTGGTGCTCGGCTTTGCTGACAACGAAGAAGCCGCCCTGGCACTGGATCTCTTCGAAGAAATGGAGACCAGAGGCTGCTCGCCGAATGCTCTCACGTATGTCTCGGCCCTGACGGCATGCGTTGCTCTGGCGGGCGAAGAGGACGGCCGGGATATCCGAGGAAAGCTGGTGAAGATGGAGTCCTTGGAGAGAGGAAGAGCGCTTCACTCTCGTTGTCAAAGCGGTGGATTTGATGCCGAAGTCATGGTGGCCAACAGTTTAGTGGAGATGTACTCGAAGTGTGGAAGTATGGACGATGCGAGGAAGGTGTTTGACGGCATGGCTCGCCACACGGTTGTGTCCTGGACTGTCTTGATCCTTGGCTACGTCGAAAACGGCGAGAACGACCAAGCGTTAAAGGCTTACGAGTCGATGAGATCGTCCCAGAGTTGTATTCTGGATGCTCGGATTTACGTTGTTGCTCTCATGGCCTGCGCGAACTCCGGAGCTATGGAGGATGGTCTAGAAGTTGATGGTGCCGTCGTAAAACCGAAAACCTTGGAGAAAGGAATGCTCGTCCACTCCCAGGCAGCAGCACGGGGACTGCAAACTGACACTTTCGTGGCCAATAGCTTAGTTGCCATGTACTGCAAGTGTGGAAGCTTACTTGATGCTCGCATGGTCTTTGACAGGATGCCAGCCTCAAGTGTTGTGTCGTGGACGGCCTTGATTCTCGCGCACGCTGAAAACGCACAAGCCGAGTTAGCACTGGAGTTCTTTAAGGCAATCCAAAGTGACCAAACCTGTGAACTCGACTCCAGGGCTTACATTGTAGCACTCGTGGCGTGTGGAGCTCTGACCGCACTCGAGGCTGGAAGACGAATCCATGCAGAAGTTTGCAAGCGGGGATTCGACGGCGAAGTCTACGTTGCAAACGCTCTTGTCGACTTCTACGCCAAGTGTGGAAGCATGGACGAAGCAATGGCAGTCTTCGACTCACACAAAGGCAGGAACCTCGTCACTTGGAGTGCTCTGGTAGCAGGATACGCCCGGCAAGGAGGAGAAACGAACCGAGTACTTGACATGTTTGAGAAGATGCCACAGCAGTGCTGCATCTCCTCCTTGTCGGTTCTCACAGCGTGCAGCCACGCCGGTCTCGTCGACAGAGGGAAGGAATGCTTCCAGGCGATGCAGCAAAGGCAAGGAACCAGGCCTTGGATTGAGCATTACCACTGTGTGATAGACATGCTGGGACGAGCAAACCACCTGAAAGAAGCAATGGCAGTGATCTCCAAAATGCCATACAAACCGACCGTGGTTACCTGGACGACGGTGCTAAGCGCGTGTGAGAAGTGGAAGAACGTTGCTGTTGGACGCATCGCGTTTGAGTCACTGCTAAGCTTGGACGAGAACCAGCCCGCGGCTTACGTGCTCATGGCAAACATCTACAAGAGCGCTGGAATGCGTGGCGAGGAGCTTGCGGCAATGACACTGGGAAAGCGTTCTACACAACAAGAAAACGCATGAGCTCGAAAGAAATCCTTGAAAGAGTTCCAAACCCCATCGCTTCCAAGCATTGCCTTCTCAAACACCGAGATCGCTCACCCGAGGCTGAGCGTTAGCGAAATCCTAGGCGCCAGGGATTCTGGAGTAAAATGTAGACGACCGGACGAAGATTACCTCGATTCCTTGATATTTTTGCGCTCCACGATCGCGGATTCCATGATATTTCCGCGCATTCTTGCGCGACGATCGCGCAAAAACCTGGCACTTGGCGCATTCCAGCTCACGAGCGTATTCCAGCTTACGATCGCATGCGCTCGCGCATGAGGATCGCAAAAACCCTGAAGAACCCTAAAGAAATATTTACATTTAAGAGACGTATATTATTAACAGCCACTGGGCCTATAGTAGTCTGGAGGGACGCTTGGACACCTCTCGTCCATGGAGGCGTAAGGCACCAGGGTGTTATAGTCCGGCAATTCCATCCTATACGTCCCCAAGATCTGGCAGAATGGAAGAGGAGGATCATCGTGAGCATTACACCATTTTGGCAGCCGCGAAGAATTCTTCTCGAAGAAGCTCAGCATGTATGCGTCACGGATCTGGAAGCAAAGAGAAGAACTCTCGTCACTCTCACTCAAGATAGAAGGAAGAAGAAGGAAGCGAGCACTTACCGTGAACTCGGTGACTTGGATGGAGCTTGCGAGCTCTCCAAACAATCCAGCTTCTTTGTACATTTGGAGGACGAACGCGACGCAGGACGTCGACTTGCCGTCGCTGTAAATCCAATCGTCCTTCTCTGGAATGGCCAGGAGCTCCTCGAATGGAATGCCTCGATGCTCGGCTTCTCTCATCACGCCGGGAAGATCCAGCCCCTGATAGCACAAAAAACATGACCCAGTTTTCCGCTTCTCTCATCCAAACTAAGTCATACCTGAGTGTCGAGACGCTTGTTGAGAGCTTCATTCCACATATTGGCAGCATACTCTGGTTGGAGTCGAGTCCAGACCGTGAGCACCGAAGCCACCTATCCCAACCGAAAACATGTATCAACAAGCTTTGGAAAGGAAACTAAAGCTCTCTTACCAGGTTTGAGTCCAGCTGAGGAGGATAGTTGTCTACCGGAGTGTCAATCCAGCTGAAGATCATGTTATGGTAACCATATGGCTTGCCATCCATGCTCCGCGCGTATTCCCAGGCGGCAGTAAGGTTGAACTTTTCTCGCATCGCCGAGCTGAGAGGTAACACAACAATATGAGGATTCGCATCGTCTGCTAGCTGCTGCTTCCACCAGTCATCCCAAGTTAAGACAGCAATTATCTCTTGACCCTGCCACACAAGAGAATGAAAATCAAGGTAAGCACCAAGAAGAAACGCTTGTTTACCTCTTTGTTTTCGTGCCCGGACTCTCCAACCCACAGCTTTCCTTGTTCGTCCCTGAGAGCAAACGCAGTGTGCCCAGCGTAAGCTCCCGTGACCCATTTCTCCAAAGTTTCAAAGCCTCCCCAGCGTCCTCGTATCTTGGAGAGCGCCAGAAAGTCACCAGACTGGATATCGTCGGTGCTGAAGTTCGACAAGCTTTGCGGACGCTCCACAAACTTGGTTTTCATATGCCTCTTCAAGAACTCGATGTTGGCATCTTGTCCCCAGCCGGTGTTTGAGAAAATCGGCAGCACGTCCCACAGAGCCATCAAAGTTCCAAGCATGCCGGCCTTCATCAAAAACACCGAAATTCCCTTGTCTTTCACCTGAAAGAGAACTGTCAGCATTTTTCTTATCAATTTCTCACTTACATAGTCAAGCTCTCCTTCTTGCCATTCTTTGATCTCCATGGTGTGCGTGCGGCCAATGAAGTAGTAGTCCCAAGTAACTCGGTAAGGAGTGGCAAAGATATACAAGTCCATACATGTCCAACTGTGAGCATTGCTTGTCTGGAACGAAACCACGACTGTTCTACGACATGACAAAAAAAAAGAAGAGAAGAACACCAACATTCTTCCTTAAGAACATACCTTGATATATAAAATGCCCCCTCCAGAGCTATTGGCCTCCTTTGGCTCCGTGAATTCCAGCCATGCCTCGTTCTTGTAGAAGCAGGCACCTTTCCAGCTGCTCAAATTCCTGTCCGAGGGAGACGACACTGCCGCTACGAACTCCGGCAGCAAATCCACCGCGTTGTGCAGCCGGTTGAGCGTCGGCCATGCAATCCCGTGCGGCAGCGCCGGGAGAACGTCGCGCGGATGGAATGGCAGCAGCGGCAGCGATCGCGCGGGCGCGCCGAGGATCATGAGAAGCAGTAGCAGCAGCAGCTCCATCGATCGCGCCCCGGCGCCCTCGCCCCTGCAAAAAATCTACCTCTAGGGCTCTTCCCTCCAAGCTTGCGTGCCGTATAATAAATGAGGCCCATCCGTACAATATCGACGAATATCCCACTAGCTAATGCGAATCTTTTCAAAAAAGGTTTTAAAATAGGCTTATTACTTAAACCATATACTTAGCACTAAAACGAAAGGCATCATTGGTAGATTCTCGATTTTAGGGTTTAGGGTTTTTCGGCATGGCGACTCTCTCGGCTTCCAAGTCGCAGCCTCTCTATCTTCTCTACGAGGCGCCGTCGGGCTACTCGATCTTCGAGGCGCACGGGCTCGACGAGATTGGCCAGGCCGCGGCGGCCGTCCAGGAATCCATCAAAGATCTCAATCGATTTGGCAATGTCGTCCGCCTCGTCACTTTCAAGCCATTTGAGTCGGCCGCCAGCGCGCTGGACCAGTGCAATGCCATATCAGAAGGTAAGAATTTCCCGAATCTTAGCTTAGAGCGTAGAAACTACTTAAAAACTACTCTTTCTTTGCCAGGGATCATGACCAGCGAGCTGCAAGAGTTTTTAGGCTCTTGTCTCCCCAAAGTGAAGGCGGGAAAGGCCGCCAAGTTCTCTCTGGGCGTGGCGGAACCAAAGCTGGGGTCTCAAATCCAAGAGAGTCTGGGCGTTCCCTGCCAGAGCAATGAGTTTGTTGCAGAGTTTTTGCGTGGCATTCGTCTCCATTTTTCTCGTTTCGTCCGTGATCTCAAGGTGTCATTTTTTTCTCTCGTTTGTCTTTGGAGTTCTTACATTTGGGACTTCGACAGGAGGGAGATGTGGAAAGAGCCCAGCTTGGTCTTTCTCATAGCTACAGCAGAGCCAAAGTGAAATTCAACGTGAATAGGATCGACAACATGATAATCCAGAGCATAAGTCTGCTGGATACGCTCGACAAAGATATCAACACATTTGCCATGAGAGCCAAGTACGCGGTTGCACTTCTTCTCTTTGTCTTTCTGATTAGTTTTCGTTGTTGCTAGGGAGTGGTATTCATGGCATTTTCCGGAGCTGGTTAAGATTATTAGCGACAACTACATATACGCAAAGCTCTGTACGTTCATCAAGGACAAATCTACTCTCGCGGATGAGTCACTTGAAGAGCTGACAGAGATTACCGGGGATGAGGACAAGGCAAAGGAAATTCTTGCGGCTGCGAAATCATCCATGGGTGCGTTTCTTAGTATCCCTTGGTATTTTTATTTGACGCCAAGTTTTGCTAACAGGTCAGGACATTTCTCCCATCGACTTGATCAACATCCAGGCTTTTGGAGAAAGGGTTGTCCGGCTTGTGGAGTTCCGAACCGTGCTCCATGGGTATCTCGTGTCCAAGATGCATGGAATTGCGCCAAACTTGGCTACTCTTATCGGAGAGATTGTTGGCGCCCGACTTATTTCACATGCAGGGAGCCTCTCAAACCTGGCTAAGTGTCCTGCTTCAACAGTTCAGATTCTCGGAGCAGAGAAAGCTCTATTCAGGTGCTTTATTTTATCTATGTATTTCGACTGTTTAAATCTTGTTCTCATCACTCCAGGGCTTTGAAGACCAAAGGTAACACGCCAAAGTATGGTCTCATCTTCCATTCTTCGTTCATTGGGAGGGCTTCAGCGAAGAACAAGGGCCGTATTTCCCGATACCTGGCAAACAAGGCCAGTCTTGCAACGCGGCTTGACTGCTACCTGGGTAAGCCTTTCGCCTCTTTATCTAAAGGTTTCTTTTGTGTGTCTTGTTTTAAGAAACGAGCACAAATGCTTTTGGACAAAAGCTGAAGGAGCAAGTGGAAGAACGGCTTGATTTCTATGACAAGGGTGTGGCGCCTCGGAAAAATATCGACGTAATGAAGCTGGCCTGCAAAGAGGCGCTGCAACAGCAATCGAATGCTGACGTGGAGATGGAAGACGCCGCAGAAAAAGAGAAAATAGCACAAGATGGAGAAGCCTTTCCAGAAGGTAGTACTTCTTTTTCATGCATCTTAAGATGATTGTACTCGTCACTGCCAGATGGAAAGAAGAAAAAGAAGAAAAAGAGGAAGAGTGACGCCGAGCCCATGGACATGGATGAGCCGCAGCCAGCTGCCGAGAAGAAGAAGAAGAAGAAGAAAGCGATTTCGGAGGAGGAGAACGGGCATCCATCAGTTGCAGTCGAGGACGAGCCTGTTTCAAAGAACGAGCCAAAGAAGAAGAAAAAGGCTAAAAAATCTGCCGAAGCGGCTGAGGAGGTGTCAAAGAAAAAGAAGAAGCGAAAGAATGCTGCCGAGTAACTTAAAACTACGAAAGGTACGCTGTTTTTACTTTCATCTCTTTATTTACGTAGTGGAAATTCCAGCCATTATAGCTGAAGAGGAGAGAATACAGCCTACATAGCGCTCTTCTTCCAAGCCTGCCGCGCAGCATCGCGTTCCTGGAAACAAAACACCAAACAGGGATGTATCAATTTTTCCACTTGTTTCTTTTTTTTTTCCCAACTTGTGACTTTAAAGCACCACTTACTTTTATTGCTTCCATTTCAGCCTCGTCCACGTTTCTCCTCTTCTTAGAGCCCCGCCTGTGTGGAGGTGCTTGCGGCACTTCATCGATGCACTTCCCCTCTTTCTTGCAAGCCAGCAGCCGATTCGCAGCATCGATACCTTGCGAGCAAATCCTCCGAGAGTCAGGTACTGAAAACGAGCTTTCTTCCGCAAGACTCACCACTGTAGTAAGCTCCGTGGACGTAGCCATTGTAGTGCTCGTGGGTGTGCTCTCCGCTGAAGTAGAGCGCTCCCTTGAGCGGCGCTTGGATTCGCTCAAACTCGTAGCTCTCGACGCCGATGGGCCAGTTTGAGAAGGATCCAACGAAGAAGCGATTAGAAAACCACTTTGGAACCAAGATATCGATCGGCTTTGGCACCGACGGCCCAAACATGTTCTTGAGAACTTCGTGGACTTCCTCGATGGTTTCGTTGCGGGGCTGCTGCTCGATACGCCGGGATTCGTCGTCGGTCACTGTGACAAACATGACGTTGGCTCCCGGGTACTCGTTTTCCAGATGCTGTGAAAGAAGAGTTAGTTTGTTTCTTTGAGATGATAATTCTATGTTTTAGATGGTAATAGGGGATTACCTGCCAGACTGGATAGTATCCTCGGTGCTCGTCGGCGTAGAGCATGAACTCGGTGAGGGGTCCGTTTGATGGCCAGAACTTGTATGGAAATTTGAGGAAGATCTTCGTGTAGACAGCCATGTCAAACTCGCTCAAGGCCTCGATCTTCCAGTCCTGCAAAAACCTTGGGCTTTAGATCTTGATTGTGGAAACTTTGGGTTTTGATACCGGGAAGGGTGGTATGAACTTGATGAGACCGCTCTGGAGAACCCCAAGGCTGACTGTGACGATCACGTACTTGGCTTTGTAGCTCTTGCCACCTTCGGTGCCAACTGTTACACCATTCTTGGAGTATCGTATATTGTTCACCACCTGCGAGATGATCCAAGAGGTTTTAGCATTTGGGAATGGACATCATGGGCGATTGTCAAACCGTGTTGAGCTTGAGCCTTGGATCGGTGATAACTCCATCCTTGGAATCCAGAAACTCTTCCGCCAACTTTTGGACGAGGTACGAGTATCCCCTTTGGTCGGCCACCAGGAAATTGCTATCGCCAAAGTTGTGAAAGGTGGGGTTTGGCTGGGTGTTCTTCAAGCTGGTAACTCGAGGAGGCTCTGGAAAGTATTCAAATGCTGGCATTGCTCTTGCAAGCATTTATACGTACCAGCAAATTCGTAGTCATAATTGTAGTAGTCGAGGACCATCTCCACTGGCGTCGAGGGGACCCTGCAAGATTTTGTGGTATATGGAGGTCCTTATTAGCGGCATAAAGCCTTACTTTCCATAAATGCGCTGTGCTGTGAGCACAGAGATATCGGCGCTATTGCTCTGGCTCTTCTTGATTCCAAGCGATTCGATCCACTCGGAGCTGTCGTCGAGCTTCTTCATGTAGATGTCGCCCAGCTTGTTTGCAAAGTGTCCACTGCAAGAGCAAAACATGAGAGAGATTAGATCCCATGGATTGTGTGTGTGTTTGTGTGCGTGAGAGAGAGAGAGAGAGAGATGATTCATGAGAAAAGAGTTGTGAGTTTTCCTCTCATATCTCGCCTGGGAGAAGTGAGAATGAAACTTTTTAGGAGAAGAGAAAGAGGGTCACAGAGTTCTTGTTCTTGGGAAAAGAGAGAGAGCATCGAGGCCATGATCATAGAGTTCTTTGGGAGATCCAGGAGAACTTGATGGCATGGATAGAATATATCTTAAAAGGAAGTTTAATGTGTTGGGCTCTAAGATCACTGAACTCTTGGGTGTAGATGTTGCTGCTGAGATTGTCAAAGTTGGAGTAGAACATCCGGAGCTTGTGCTTGTTTGCGAGCTCCCAGATTGGGTTTGTCGTCGTCTCGTTGACACCCTCGACCCAGTTTGCTCCCAGCTCGATCCTCTTGCCCGCGAAATCGGCCTCGCGCATCCTCCCGCCGATCCTGTCCGTGGCCTCAAGGATGACAAAGTCGTCAATCCCGGCCTCGGACAAGGTGTTTGCAGCCATGATGCCTGCAACCACGGAAAACCAATGGCATTTAGAGATTCCATCCATATACGAATGCCAATGTAAAGATACATCAAAAGAATCAACGTGTAGGATCACGAAACATATAGATCACGAAGAACTTCACGAAACGAATGGACTCTCTCTCTCTCTCTCTCTCTCTCTCTTTCTCTCTCTCTCCAGATCTTTCGTGAATCAAAGATATATGTACTAAGATCACGAAAACGAAGTGGTGAGCATGGAGTCTTTCTCTCTCTTTTTTCCCAGATCTTTCGTGAATTCAAAGATGTATTTGATAGAATGGAGTGGCTCTCTCTCTCTCTCTCTTCCAGATCTTTCGTGCATCAAAGATATATGTGCTAACGAAACGTATATATCACGAAGAACTTCACGAAACATGGTGAGAATGGAGTCTTTCTCTCTCTCTCTTTCCAGATCTTTCGCGAATCAAAGATACATCACGAAAAACTTCACGAAACATGGTGAGAATGGAGTCTTTCTCTCCACATCTCTCGTGAATCAAAGATATATGTGATAAGATTCTTCGTGTATTATATACCTGCCATTCCTGCACCAACAATTATCACGTCAAACGAGTATTTGGCATCGAGGGCATCCTCAGCAGCGATCTTCCGCGCTGCAGCGACGCAGCGCGATCGATCCAGAGGGACCGAGGCGAGGAAGAAGAAGAAGACGAAGGAAGACAAGAAAAAGCTCGAGAAGCTCCTCATGGTGTCTATAGATGATTGGCTCTAGCGGGATAGCCGCTTATAAATACTCCCAGAGATCCTGGAATCTTCTAAGCATCATTAGCAATAAAAGAAATTGCATCCGACATGGAGGGCTCCGCTGGATTGTCATTTTCACATAAATTAAACCCTCTCACTTTTTCTTTTTGGTTTTTCCTATTGGACCATTGTACAAAAAATTGTTTTTATCACTATCGTTTGCCACATCATTCATTCATTTTTTGTTTACATGGCCAGCTCCAAGAATGGAGCTATCAATGAATTCAATGAGCTGAATTGACCGCTAATATTCCATGGAGCTGCTTATCCCACTCTCGCCTGGACAAATCCCGCTCCTAAACAAAAAGAAGACAAAATCTCCTGAAAAGTGCCAAGAAATGCTAGATCCTTACCTTGACAACGCTTGCTTCCGCGCTCTCCATGTTTCGTCTCCTCTTCTCTCCGGTTCTGTGCGCCGGTGCCTTTGGTACTTTGTCCACGCACTTGTTCTTCTTCATGCAGTCCAGGAGTTTGTTCGCAGCGTCGATCCCTGGAAACCAAACTGAGCTCCAAAACCCGCGAGAACTTTGGCTACTTACCGCTGTAGTAAGCACCGTGGACGTAGCCATTGTAGTGCTCATGCGTGTGCTCTCCAGCGAAGTAGAGAGTGTGGCTGAGCGGCGCTTGGATCCTCTCAAACTCGAAAGCTTCCACACCAATGGGCCAGTTGGAGAAGGAGCCGACGAAGAACCTGTTGGACCACCATCTCGGTACCAGGATATCAGTTGGCTTGGGCACCGACGGTCCAAACATCGACTTAAGCACTTCGTGGATCTCGGCTATGGTTTCATTGTTGGGTTGTTGCTCAATGCGGCGGGATTCGTAGTCCGTGACGGTGACGAACATGACATTTGCCCCTGGGTACTCGTTCTCCAAATGCTGAAAGCTTCCAGCTTAAAACACGATGGTGTGAAGAGTTTGAAGTGTCCTTACTTGCCATATTGGATAGTACCCGCGTCTCTCGTCGGCATAGAGGAAGAACTCGGTCAGTGGTCCGTTTGAAGGCCAGAACTTGTAGGGGAACTTGAGAAAGATCTTGGTGTAAACAGCCATGTCAAACTCGCTCAAAGCTTCACGTTTCCAGTCCTGCAGAGGGGATTGCACTGCCATTTAGCGGAGGATGCATCTACTTCGAATGAACTGACCGGTAAACCAGGGTTGAACTTGATAAGGTCGCTCTGAAGAACTCCCAGACTGACCGTCACGATGATGTACTTTGAGTTGTAGACTTTGCCGTCTTCAGTGGTTGCAGTCACTCCTGTTTTAGAGTACTTGATTTGGCGGACAACCTGCGAAGTTCGAAGAGTAGGATTGATCACTTTCATGTCAAGCCGTGGTACCTTGTTAAGCTGAAGCCTGGGATCGGTAATTTTGCCGTTCTTGTTGGCAAGGAACTCCTCGGCTAGTTTCTGAACGAGGTACGAGTAACCACGCTGGTCAGCAACAAGGTAATTGTCGTCGCCAAAATTATGAAACGTAGGATTAGGCTGTGTGTTTTTCAAGCTCGTGACACTTGGTGGCTCTGGAATGTTCAAAGGAGAGAAACATGGTCAAGAAATCAAGAAAATAAGTAAGGTAGATACCTGCAAATTCGTAGTCGTAGTTGTAATAGTCGAGAACCATCTCGACAGGAGTCTTTGGAAAACTGTAGCCAGCACAGATTAAGATGAGCAAGCACATTGAAAGATCGAGCGCTTACACTCCGTGAAGTTTCTGTGCGGACAAAACAGACATATCCGGGGCATTGCTTTCGCTCTTGCTCAGCCCGAGCTCATCAACGAAATCGCTAGAATCGTCGGACTTGCTCATGAGATTTTCTCCCAGCTTGTTTTGAAGATGTCCACTGCCCACAATTTAATGCCTTTCAGATTATCGTTTGAAGCGCAGCAAACAGAGAGAAACTTACTTCTGAGTGTAGATGTTGTGACTGAGATTGTCAAAGTTAGAGTAGAACGTCCGGAGCTTGTACTGGTTTGCAAGCTTCCAGATGGGATTCGTGGTGGTCTTGTTCACTCCTTCCACCCAGTTTGCTCCCAGCTCGATCCGCTTCCCTGCAAAGTCCGCCTCCCGCATTCGCCCCCCGATGACCTCCGTCGCCTCGAGAATAACAAAATCCTTCACTCCAGCTTCGGACAGTGTCTTCGCAGCCATAACACCTGAGAACACCACGAGCAGATCTCAGTCAGTTTCGACGAGATGGACTTCCGAGTTTGTCACTAACCTGCCATGCCGGCCCCAACAATAATAACCGATGACGGCGATGGCTTTGGATCAGTAGCAAGCCTTCGAGCAGCAGCAGCAGCAGCAACGGCAGCATCGAGTAGCAGTGCTAGCAACGCGACGAGAAGAAATGTAGATAGCAAAGAACGAGCCATGGCCACTGCTGCCTCTCCGCTGCTTGCCGCTGCAAGCTGCACAGAAAACTAAATTACAGATTGTCTGAATGAAGAAGCAACATCCTTGCATATTGATAGGATCGTTGTACAGAAACTGTACGAATAAACCATTTTCGTCGCGGACAGAGATCGTGCAGCGCGTGGTATCGGCCAGCTGTACGGCTGATCGGAAAGGTTTAGAAAAAGCAACGTCATAATCAAGCAAGAGCGCTGGTCTGTCTGTCTTTGCCAAATGTTTTTTCTTTTCTTGCTATACAGTCTGCAAAACCATGTCGCCACTCGGGTTAAGAGCACAAGCGACGAGACGATACCGTGGCGCTAAAGTTATACTCAAAACTAGTCGACGAGAGTGAGAAGATATCGCAAAAAAATTCTTCTATACTTCAAGCTGCAAGCGCCGGAGAGAGGAGTTAGTGGCATTCGGTCATAGGCATGAGTCTAGAGAGCTTGAGTACCCTCCATGGCAGCAGCCTTTGTCATCTCCTTAGTGATGGCGTCCACCAGAGCTTTGTCATGGTACTCGGGTCCAAACACCTTGATGCATTCCATCTTGGTGTTCATCAGGTAGCTGCCACAAGGCTGGAAAAGATATATCGGCTGCGCGAAGAGAAGTGAATTCGCTTACACGTTAGAGGAGTGCTCGACAAGGTAGTCGGATCTGTCCTCGTCCGTCTTCCTGAAAAACGCTCGGAACTTCCACAGCACCGGCCTCACATCGCTTGGCTTTCCAGTAAGTCCAACAAAGCCTGGGTGAAACTCTGCAGAGACAAAGGTTGGAAAGGCTTTTACGTTTGATTGAGCTCAACCTCTGAGGTAGTGCTTAAGTTGGACCGTGTTGTCACGCTCCGGATCAGCCGTGATGAAGATCGGCACAATGCTCTTTCCTAAGTGTAATCCAACATCAAGAAAAAAAAATGGAAAAACGAAAGTAACCACGAAAACTCACCTAGTTGATGCACGACGCTAGCAATCTTCTCAAGCTGCCGCGGACAATCCTCGGGACAATGCGTGTAGCCAATGTAGATCAAAGACCACTTGCCAAAGAAGTCACTGTTCGACACTACTTTGCCAGACTGATCGAGGAGAGAGAACGGGCCACCGACGGTGATCCTCTCAGGCCTCACAGCCGCGGTAGATGTTTTTTTCGCTAAGGAAAAACAGACTTAGCATTGACAACAAGAAGAACAAGAAGAAAACAGAAAAACTACCTTCGATCGGTGGCCTCCCGAGGTAGAAATACGCGGCAAATGCGAGGCCCACGCCGGTCCCCAGAAGAATCATCGATCGAGCAAGCCAGTTCGCAGGCTGGAAGACAGAGAGAAAGAGAAAGAAGAAAGAATGTGTCATGGGATCCATAGAGAAGGATCACAACCTCTGGATAGGGCACGATCACAGGGCGCTCTCTCTCGATTGAAAACCTCCTCCTGGAAGAGCAATATTTCGCCTAGAGAGCGAGGAATGCAGAGAAAGGAATGAGATTTTCGCGAACCTCTGGCGATGGCGCAGCGATCCTCTTGGCGAAGGAGGTGTAGTAGCGCCTGGACATGCCCAGCGCCATTGCTCATTCCATACCTAAAACCCTAAAACAATATTATATAAAGCTATAACAATTTCAATTAGTGCATATGTCTCTTCCTTCTCCTTGCCATGGCAGCAGAGCAGGATCAGAATGCCGGAACTTAAAAGATGCCGTTGGAGCTCATCCTCGCAATCTATCCGGCAATCACGAAGCATCCGGCATTAGAGAGAGTCGCGCTCTTCCAACCCTGTATTCTTCAGCGAGCAGGATATTCGAATCATTGACATGGAAAGATTCAACAAATATCCTGTTTAGGACTTGTAGATTTTTATACTTCACCTACCTCAGTAAACTTGTCGCTCTTTCCTCTCGTGAAAAAAAGTCCCAGCAGCTCAGTGAGTAGAAAGAAAAGTTACTGCTTAGTTACAAATGCAACTATTCTATGTTGCCAGGATATAATTCTGGATGGGTTTCACGGACGTTTGAGGACACCGAGTCAAGAAGGCTGTGCATTTGGAGGTCTGCTAGAGGCATCACCCCCTCCCAGCTGCGACTGTTCACCCTGTGCAATCCATGCGAAAAGTGTGATCTCAATCTCTATGTGCATTCACTGGCAAGAATGAAATGCAGCCATACCTGGTCCACCTTCTTTCTCTTATTTCTCTTCCTTCTCCTTGCCATGGCAGCAATGGGTGGAGAGCAGGATCAGAACGCCGGAACTTGAAAGATGCCGCTAGAGCCCATCCGCCCCGCCTGCCCGCCCACAGCTTTCTCTCGGCATCTAGGCCAGGGCGATCGCTGGAGAGCGGCGATTCTTGTTCTACAATCTTTGATCGATCGCGCGGATCGCCAGGTTTGTGTGTGCACTCTCTCTCTCTCTCTCTCTCTCCGCGATTTAATCATCGGGAGCGTCTTGATTGCCAGATAGAGAGATTGCGACGGGCCGGCCGTGCAGTCGTGATCGTTGATAAAAGAGGAATCGAACCACCACAAATCGATCTGGTTATGATGGAGCAAAATTCGAATTTGTACGGCTGGGTCACTAGATACATGAATGCATTCCAGTCGGTCGATGAAGGTCACCATCCGGTAAAACGTGGCGGCCCGCAGATGGACACCTCCATTCTCGTGGTTTTGATCTTTGCTGTGTGTATATCCTCATCGTTCTTGCCGGTCTTTCCTTGTGGGATTTGATCGATATGCACCAGCGCCGATACAACTAGAAAAACCGCGGGATATTTGAATCGTTGACGGGCGTCTGTGCTGACAGGGCGACGTAAAATGCCACGTAGACGAATATCCGGTTTAAGGCTTGTGGTTATATATGCACTAAATATATCTTTAATATTTAATCATTTAAACCAGCCCAAACTAGGTCAAAATTTACAAATAAACTTGTCAATCCTTTCACTCAACGATTGTCCTCTTCGACAGCACAAAGATTTACTGGTGCACGAGTTGCAGGCTATTTCACCAAACTAAAAGATGTCCAAGAAACCTTTTGATCCTAGGTTGTGAGAAACTCGAAGTACCACATTTAAAGCTGAGTATGCCAAATTTGCTACCAGTGTGCTGCCGACCTCATGTGCGTAGAGCAGCGCAGCATACTGGCGCTTGATCCTTCATCATCAACTTTGAGCGTTTTGTTGCTCCTGAAAGCACTGTGAATGTCCCCCTTTAATCTTAACACTGAAGGAGCAGTACCTGAATCGTTCGCTTTCCTCCGTTTTTTCTTGAAAATCTGAGGCTCGGCATCTTCCAGGCTGCACAACATGTCGTTAGAAAAGCCAACAAAACTGTGATAAAAAAAAGTGAACCTATGGCCACCAGATTCTCGGAAACTGTCCGCAGCACTTCTGCACACAACAGAGGGCCTGTAATCGTTGCATTAGCACTGTTATGAACAAAAAGTTGACTTACCTTCGGTGGTGGGCATCCCTCTTGCTCTTGGAAACCTGCCTCACGCTGCTGGGACCTTCCATGACACTAAAGCACAAATGAGAATGTCAAGGTGGCGATAGGATTGATGATGAATAGAGAGTACCTCTGAACCAAAGCCTCATACACCTCCTTTGGAGTTGGCCAGATCTTGTCGATAAGCATATGAGCTTGGCACACCCTTTCCCTGGCCACGGGCTCCCCCAACAGGATGCTCTTGAGGTCAAAGTCACACAGTCTTGCAAAAACCACGTTCGACTTTGAGCTGAGACAGAAAGCGCAAGATCACCAGATCAAGGAGATGAGAGATCCAAATGCACTTGCATAGTATACATACCCGAACGAAGTTCCATGAGGAATGATGCGAAACACGCGCAGATCTTTTTCAGAAATGTCCTCTTGAAACTCAGGAGGGACTGTGTCCGGATAGTCTTCCGGGATCAGCACTTTGACCCTCCCGGGCCTGGACACAAATATTTAAGCGAATTCACAAAGATAAGAAAGGAAAACGGGAGACATACGTCGTTGAATGTAGCACTGCCTCGAGGTAAAAGCACCTGAACGACTTGTCTATGGGAGAAGGATTGCGAAGCATGTACCTGTACGCAAGGAAAGCAAGACGAAGATGGTAAGGATACAAGCAGAAAACTGGGTTTACCAGAGTAGCTGGCTACTGTCATGGAGCTTTTGTTTCTCAGTTACTGAAGCCTTTGCTGCTGCTTTGAGTTCAGCATCTGTAACATACACAGAAGATAATGATAAACCAAAGCGCGCCATACTTACAGTTGAAGGAGCAGCCATAGAAAATATTCGCCTCTGCTTCTAGCAGCATGAGCCGAGCATGCGCGACCGCATCTTCCACTTTCTCCCGGTGTGTTAGAACGTCTGGAAGAAGGCAAGGCACAAGCAAGTCCTCGATAAATGGTTCGGACTTGATGCTGCAGAGCAGAAGCTCCAGCTCTTGGTAGCTGAGTTTGCCGTAGCTTGGTGATGGCTGCCGTTCAACAAGTTTGACTATATCATACGAGAGGGCCTCGTAAACGGGTTGAGCTCGGTCACCAAACTTTTCACTTGAAAGATCCATCTACATGAACTGGTAAGAGACACAAAACAGAAACAAAGGAGGAAGGAGACACTCACCGTTTTGCGCTGAGCAAAGCGATCAGACAGCAAAGCATCACTGACAGCCATCCTTTGAGTCGCATCTTCTACAGAAACATGAATCAGTTCAGCTGCACGATAAAACCACCCAAACCTGTTACCTGAGTCCAGGAAACGTCGAGCGAGTTGAGGGCTGCATGGGTCCTGGAGGATGTGGCGAGCAGTCTGGAAAACCTCGTCGGAGATGAAATCTTGGAAGAGATCCCAGTGCTGGTGGATGTAGAGTAAACCCAGCAAATGGCCCAAGTCTGGATCCTGAGCCACTGCATCGTACCTCGTGTTGACATATTCCCCCACCAGCCTCTTCTCCTTGGCAAACCTCCTGAGTTTGTCATACTCATTACTTACCTTGCTCAATTCCCTGAGACCCTTTCTTGATATCCGAGAACGCCGCTCCGACTCGAACCCCAGGTTTTCCATTGCCACCCTAACGCCTCAAGGAGAGGCCATTTTGTCAGCTTCAAGTACCTTTTTTCCTTTCGATGCGCTCCATTCCAATCGCGCAGCGGCATTTCTTTCCTCCTCGCTATTGCCGTCGCCCTCTTCTTAGGCTTCCTGCTGGCACAGATGAGGAGGAAGCGCCTGGCTGTTTTCGTGTCTGGCGGCGGATAAAACTTTCGGAGCATTCACAAGCCGATGATGGATGGCACTGATCTTGGAGATGTTGTCTCGGACAAGCCAGGTTAGTTCTTCTTGATCTTTTCATGGCTAGAATCCATAGCATTTAGTTCTTCCCATTCATTTGTGGCATATTTCCCAAGACGGACACGCCGCAAGACGTGGCAGCCTTGTTCTTTAGTTTCGATTGGTTTTTGGATGGGATTTGCTACTCACAGGAGCACGCACTGATGTGGAAGCTGTGGCTGCTCTCTACAAAGAAAGGATTGAACGTAGTGGCGATGGAGTCCCTTGCATGCGCGAAGAAGAACTAGCTTAACTGGAGGTATTTCGATCTTTGTATATGTTATCCAACTATTTTCCATAACAAACGATTTCCTGCCCATCTATTTCGAAATGTGGTAAGTTCCAGAAAATGAAAGAATATTCTTTATATTAGCTCCCGCACGAGAAAACTCCGTCACCTTGAAAGTACATTGTCCTTAGATACGCGTAAGGTTTTTTGGTCAGATCTTTTGTACCTGCCACGGCCACTTGAGATCCTTCTCGTGCCCGGGATTATAACTAGTGTATTAATGTCTTAATCGATTAATAAATTCATTAAGGCTAATTTGAGAAAATTAATTGAAATAGAATACCTTTTTATTCTTATGACACGTTCACATACATGATCTATTTATTTTATGAAGTCATGTGATGAATGAAGTGGTCGCTTTGAACAAAAAAATTCAACTCTATGGAAGCATTGGAAATGTGGATTCTGCTCGTGCAGTGTTTGATTCCATAGTGTCCAAAGATGCATTTTCCTGGGTGTGCTTGATATGCTCATATGCCCAAAACGGGTATCTACGACATGCAAAATGGGCCTTCGACAAAATGCCATCACCCAATCTCGTCTCTTACACCGCAATGCTCAGTGCATACGCGAGAAACGGTCAAATCGATCAGGCCCAAAGTATTTTTGATGCAATGCCACAGCACAATATTGTAGCTTGGGACGCAATCGTATCAGCATTGGCCCAGAGCGGGCATTTTGAAGAGGCGCGGGAGACCGCAGAAAAAATGCCCGAGCACGGGGCTTTCACTTGGACATCACTGCTCAACTCCTGTGCCCGCGAGGGCGACCTCGCGGGAGCGCGAGAAATCTTTGCGGTGATGCTCGAGCACCATCTCATCTCCTGGAATGCGATGCTCACTGCGTGCTCGAGGGCCGGGGAGTGTGAGCAGGCGGAGTGTGTCTTTGATTCCATGCCGGAGCGAGACCTTGTATCCTGGAATGCGATGATCACAACATACTGCCACTGCGATTCCTTTGCACTCGCCATGAAAGTTTTTCGCGAGATGCCCGCGTGTAACATAATATCCTGGAGCACAATACTTGCCGGAAGTGCTGGAAGTGGACACTTGGAGGAAACAAAAAAAATCTTTGAGTGCATGCCCATGCACAACCTCGTTTCATGTACCACGATGCTTGCGGCATATTCCCAAGCCGGGCATCTTTCTCTTGCGAGAAAGTTATTCGACTCTATTGCCCACAAAGACGTGGTTGTGTGGACGGCTATGATGGCAGCGTACGCTGACAACGGCCATCTTGACCAGGCAAAACGTTTATTCGACGAGATTCCCCGTACAAATATCGTGACTTGGAATATTCTTCTTGCAGCATATGCCGGTGATGGGCAAATTGAAGTGTTGAAATGTTTGTTTGACAAGACGCCATGCCAAGGAATATTCTCTTGGAACTCTCTTTTGTACGGTTATGCTCGTTCCGGGTATCTATCTGACGTAGAGCAAACGTTTCGTTGGATGCCGGGTTGGAACTTAATGTCCTGGAATATTTTGCTAACGGCATATGCCCAGACTGGGCATCTTTTGGAATGCGAGGCTTTGTTCCAGGGAATGAATATTCGCGACTCAGTCTCTTGGAACGCTCTTCTTGGCGCTCAAGCCCAAGCCGGGCAATTGCAACAGTGCAAGAGAACTTTTCTCTCGATGCCCGAGAGAAGCTTGGTGTCTTGGAACACAATGCTCACTGCCACCGTCCACAAAGGAGATCTCTCTCACGCCTTCCAAGCCTTTCATTCCGCCAAGCTCTTGGAGCTCCCGGACGACATAAGCTTCGCCTTGATCCTGGTAGCATGCAGTAGAACTGGGAAGCTTTTCGATGGAAGGTCTCTGTTTCTGTCGATGGTGGTGGATTTCGGATTGGAGCCGACGATGCAGCACTACTGCTGCATGGTTGATCTGCTGGGACGCGCTGGCTTCGTCGAGGATGCGCAGGAGCTCATCGCCACAATGCCGTGCCTTCCAAACGCCGCGGTGTGGGGATGCCTGCTTGGGGCTTGCCGGAGTCAGCAGAGCTCGAAAGTCGGCGCTCGAGCGGCGAAGTTTGTCCAGCAGGACGCTGCGTTTCTGCTGCTTGCCAACATTTACTCGCTTGACAAGTAGATGATAATCACGTAACAAGGAGAAGGAGAAGTTTAATCGAGACAACTGACCTCGAGGGATACTGGAGGAGATCTCCGTTGTAGCGTTCTGATTATGCAAACATCAACAAAGGCGAAGGAGAAGTTTAATCGAGCGAACTGACCTCGAGCGAGTTGCGTTTCTACTGGAGGACGTAAATGAGATCTCCGCTGTGAAGCAGTGTGTCATAGGCCGGGTTCGTGCTCACATAAGCGACTGGAGAGTTGTGCGTCCCAACCGGGCGGTAGAGTCCCAGAGCGAGCGCCTTTTCGTTGTGCAAGAGCCCCTGGAACAGCTGCTGGAAGCTGAGGCCGACGTAGCAGCTTGGGATCGGAATTTGCTCGAGCCTCCGTATGGAGTTTTCGTCACCGTCTTCGTCCTCTCCGGTGTGTCGCCCGCAAGAGAGCTGCTCGATGATTGAGACGGAGTTCCTGTTGAAAAACGTGGCGTACCTGAGGATCCATGAAGACTCAGAAAGTATTCTCGAGAAAAGGAGGACTTACGTTAGGAATGTGAATGCTGCCGGGCAAAGTCCCTTGCCTTCGGCGAATGGTGGTGCAAACTGTAACCTCGCGTCACGGTCTCTTTGCAACGTTTTCGGCTGGAATTGCACGGTGTGGATCCGGGAGTGTGGTCGGAGGAATTGCAGCTGGATCTCTTGTTGGAGTTCAACCAGCACACGGTTTCTGGCCGGGCTTAGAAGGCGCTCGACGTTCGCAGTTATGACGATGTTCTTCACGTCCAGAGTGTTCACTGTAGGCGACACAGCTCCTGCTGCGTCGTCAACTGGTTGGAAGTCGTCCTCGAAGCCTTGCGTGAGGATTACCACCTTCTCTGCTAGCTTAAAACGAGTTAAATCGAATACCTTTAGCACAGACGAAATCTTACCCGCTTGCAAAACTCCAGCACGAACCAAGTCTAGCTCGTACAAAGCCGAGCCTTTCACAAAGTAGACGTCCTCGAACAATCCCACGCATCCCCAGTCCGCGGCAGTCGGTGTGCTTGGGTGCATGATCACAAGTGGCATCTGCGGCATCGTTGGAATCCGTAAGTTGCAGACGAAGTAGAAGAGATTTAGCGGCCAGTTTCCTTCGATGCAGAGTAGAATGTGAGGAAAGGATAAAACCACTACGTTCATCGTCTTCTCCCGCAGGTTTTCCAGTATCGTGTCTTCCCTTCTTTCCAAAACCGGTCGCTCGGGCTTATCCCACTTCCTCAAAGGTGGCCAACTCATTGCCATATCTATGGCTTCCTCCAGCGAAGCAACAAACTTTACTTTTGAGTGGCCTTCTTCTTCAACCGAATCGATAGACGAGTAGAAGGGACGAAAATGGCCTTGAAAATCCGTTCTTGTACCTGGCCTGGTGGAATCCTTTTTGTCGTCATACAAATGGTCGTCAGTTGTCGTCCTCTTGGTCCGTCGCCTCTTATCCCTGCTTTTAAAACCAGTTTCCACGTCCTGCCGGCTTCCCTTCACGCTTCTAAGAATCCCGTGGTCTTCTTCATGCTTAAATTTACCAGATGATCTTCGGCGTGCTTTACCGTATTCTGAAATGCGTTCCGCCATCTCTAAGTCCTTCGCAATGACCAAACCAAGATCGGATGGCTTAATTCTACGGCCCCGTGGATAGAGTCGCACTACACGGAGCTTATTTTCAAGTATAATGTCAAGGCCAATAAGAACCGCATGGTACTTGAGGTACACAATTTCAGCCGCCTGAAGGAAAAGATCACTGTGTGTGAAGTTCAAAGTTATCTGTACAAACCTCTTCAAAAGTCAGTTTCTCTTCGAAAAAGCAAGTCGGTAATATAGCTGGAAAGATCTCCTGCCGAACACCATAGCAGTACTCTGTCATCCAGTGGTCAGCGTGTGAATGTCTCAGCAATAACCCGGAACGAAAAAGGTTGATTACAAGAGTTGAAAACCCCTGAATAAGACAGCTGAAACGAAAACAAGAGTCATGCTTTGAGGTAAAGCTCAGACTGTACCTTCGAGCTAAAAGTTGAAAGCGGACTGCCTCAGGGCAAATGATTTCAATACCAGCCTCAGTTTCATCCCAAATAGCATTATTGTAGTTTTCAGGTTTTAGCAGCTCCACGATCACTCTCACCTTCGAACCACAATGACGATGAACGGAAAGAGTCCGGGTTATTTGAGCCGCGTCTTCCGCATCAAAATCCTGAGAGTGGTTTCATGGTCAGTGCCAAGAATTGTAGTGATTGCCTGCACCTTCGCATGCTCATCCGCAAGTAAGAATACCGCTGTTGCAAAAGTAGCACAAACACGATCTAAATCGGACTCTTTTATAGGAGTTCCTTCAATGAAGTTGACTCGTCCTCGGTAATGCGTCAGAAGTGTCTTCATCTCATACCTGCAAAGCTCGATAATTAGAAATATAATATTCACCAGCGCACATACGAAGGTTTGAAAGGTGCCATGATAACAACTCGAATAGGAAACGCTGCCATGTCTATTCGCAAACAAAAAATAAAATGAGAACATCACTGCATCACCTTACTTACCTTTATCATGGTTAGGATGATAGAATCCAGCTAGGAAGTGCCGAATTGTTTGAAGGGATACATTTCCGCTGATGACGATAAAGTTAGACCCAACCGCCTTTTGCATCGTAAATCTTCCTCCATAAGGTCTGCATAAAACGATGATGAGTGAGTTAATTAACTCGACAACATACCTGCGAGAGGCAAGCTGTAGAATTCTGTTGATTTGCACTGGAAGAATAAGTACAGCAGCAAGCATGATAGTGAGAGTAATTAGCCGTCCCCAGTTTGACTTTGGCGTGAAGTCTCCATACCCAACGGTGGTAATCTAGAAAAGAAACTCAAGTGAAAAACAATGAACTAAACTTCTTACCGTCACAATCACAAAATAAAAGGCATCATAAAAGGTAAAACATCCCGAGACACCACAACCTTGCTGTATTTTCTTATCCGCCGATGTAGTTTTATATTCCACCCACTGAAGTATGCCAGCGGCAATAAAAACTGCATGCAAATAAAGAAGAGATTTTGAAAGAACTTAGCTTGAACCTACCAGCACCGAGTGTGTACATTACGAGAAGAAAAATTTGCTGGCCAATTGTACCACCGACGATCACAAACGAAGTGAGGGAAGGTAGAATCCTGAACAATAGAAAACACATATACTCTACATTACAGATGTTTAAAATAAAAGCATACGCTAACCTCAAGGCTCGAAGGACCAGTAGCATTTGAGGGATAGCACCATCGTTCTTAAATTTGCTGCAAGCATAATCGAACGAATCAGTTGCAGATGTTCTTCCTTGACAAAACCAACCTCCAGAGGCAAACAATTGACAAGGTGCTGCTGAGGTCGATGAGGCCACTTACGGATATAACGTAGTACAGTCGGACAGGAGCGCTGCACAAATATGTTAGTAATAATCCATAATCCAGGATTTCTGTAGCATGATACCTATAGAGCTTTAAGAGATAATCTGCGACGAAGAAAAGACCAAAAACTCGCCTCACGATCACAATCCAATGAGTCGACGAGAGTATATAGCTAATGAAACAGGATAAAGCTGTCAAGTTTGAAGGATTAACCGACTTACGTCGATCGCACATAAGCAACAACAGATACAACTGCTGCAATGAATTCTATCTGCGTATCAAGGAATTATCAGACAATTGCTACAGAATGTTTAGCTTACACAGAGTAGAATATGGCCGAGAGTACCACTGCGAATCGCTGTTCTCACTTTGATTGTCAATGGAACAGTGCCGTATAGGTACAGATTGTGGTATCTGGCAAGAACATCCTTTCCACAGAGAAAAAGAAACAAACGATTTCACATCCAGAAGACATAGAGAGTGCTTACCTCAGTGGCATTAACTTCCTTTTCCTTCGTTTGATCTTTGAGCCAGAGGAGGCTTTGCAGCAGCACATACTTGACAGAGCCTCTAAACTTCCCGAGCGATGACTCCTCAGGGACCTTGTTCTCGCGCTCCCTCGGCAAAGAGAATTCCGCATGCTTGGCTTCCAAATCGAACTCCAAGTCATCCTCCAAAACAGGTGTGCACTGGCCAGTGGGAGTGATGAGCAGCGTCCGAGAGCGAGTGAGAGACTTTGTTCCGGCATTCATTCCACTGCTAGCCAGAGCTGGAACAGTAACCTCCACCATGTTGGACCTCTCAAGAAATCCCATGTTCTCGTTGTCCATATCACTCCTGGAAAAAAATTAGCAAAAGGAGAAATCAGTTCTAAAGTTTCCAAACAAATCCCAAGCAGCTTAATCAATCACCGGCCATATCGCAAGACAGTGTCGGAGAATGCTTTTCGCATTTTTCTGTGTTGCAGCTCACAAGAATTATCCCTCTGACACGAGCGCAAGCAAAAACAATGTCTCTGCTAACTCCCAGTATGTCAAAGCCAAAAGGCTTTAAAGTCTCCAAGGAAAGAACTTACTGGCGAGGATTCCTTCGTACGCTGGTCCAGGGTGCCATCCTTGTCCAACGCTGTGACGCCAGGAAACATACCTTTCATATGGTTCACTGAAAAAAATAGAGAGCTATGGCTTAGCTAGAGGCCAAAGCTTATAGAACAAACAGACCTTTGCCGGTGCCAATGCTGCGACGCGACAAATCCTCTCACATCTTCCATGACGATGACCGATTCGATTAGCCGATGTGATTCACGAGGAACGATCCATCACAGTTAGCTCACCTTCCTAAACCCTGGACTAGGGCTCTTGCTGCGCGCGATTCAAATCGCTCACCGGCGCGCGAATCAATCCGGGGCGTGGCGCTGGAAGATCGTGGAGCTGGAGCGGGAACGATCGATCGAGGGGCGCGCGCGATCCAATCGACCGTCGCGACAGTCAATAATATCGCCAAGGCGCAGCATCATCATTCGCTTCGTGTGAACAATGGAATGGAAGAGCTATGAAATCGAATATTCGCGAATTATTATATAACTGACCGTTTATTAGCAGCATTTAAAGCTCTGCCACGATCGTTACTCTATAGATCGCATTCTTTGATTCGATCACGCCGATCCAGCTACAATACCACCGATTCTACCAGCGTCGAAAATTTCAATCCAGTAACCATCTGGATCCTTGATGAACGCTAGACCCTTCATTGATCCTGTCAAGAAAAAGAGATTTCCATGAATACCAGCGAACGCGATTCTAGTTTTTTCACGTACCATCGTCCGGTTTCTTCACAAACTCCACGCCAAGTTTCTCGAATCTCTCGCAAGCCCTGTAGGTGTCGTCCACAGAGATTCCAATGTGCCCTTCACAGGTTTTCCCTTTTCAGAGAAAGAAGAAAAGTGAAAGAGAGATTCGGGGTCTACCATAGCCGCGAGGATCAGCATTTCCATTGTGGTAGCCTTTAAAGTCTGGATCCGTCTCAGTCCCCCAGTTGCTACAAAGCCCAACACATAAGATTAGAAGAAAACACTCTCTCCAACATCACGTACTGTGTCAGTTCTATGGTTGCTTTCTTCCTGAAAGTCCAGCGAACACGCTCGATCGGGTCTTTTGGAGCCTCGGCCGAATCCTGCATCAAAGAAAGAAAAAGAAACTTTCATTGTGCTAAGTCCAACACTTCGAGGACCTCGTATCCTACGAAGTATAGCGAGAACTTCGAATCCGGGAAGTCTAGCCTTTTCAAAAGCCTGAGATTCGAAAGTTTTTGTCAGTACAAACTATCCAGATCAAAGTACTTACGTCATTCCAAGGACGCGCGAGTAGAAATCCAAGCTCGCTTTTGGATCCTTGATCCGATACATCTATAAAGATGAACGATATAAAGGATGGAAGCTTTTAGACAAGAAAGAGAATGTAGCAATGGACAAAAGTGAAAAAACGTGGCACTCACAGTTTGCTGCACGATATAGCCTTTGGTTGCCTCATCCGGTGATTCACTCAAGCCGGGATTATTCTCCGCCGATTCCTTAGATGCCGTGGTAGCCATCGCTCGATTCCTTAGCTGCATTCTCACAGATCAGCATGCTCCGTGACCGGAAATCCCAATCGACGCACAACCTATCGGTGAGAACCTTAAGATTACGCGATGCGCAGCCGAATTGCCCCAATCCACGCGGTAGATGCCTGGCGCGCAAGGATTCCAGCAAGGAGCAACTAGAAGCGAAGGAAATCTTTGAGAATGCAGTGGCCGATCCAGCCATGGCTATTCTCACCTGGACGACGCCCAAGAACCCTAAAAGGGGAAAGAGTGCCGCTTAAACCCCAGAGGACAGGTAAACCCCATGTTAAGAAAGAAGTAGGTCGTGCGTGCTTTTCTCTCTCGCAAAGGCGGCAATGTTGCGCCGCCTGATCAAGAATGCGGTGGATCGAAATCTCGCGCGACGATCGCCGCTCGGCACTGGCGCTGGCTATGCAGCGTTTCACGGCGGGAATGGTCTCTCGCAGCACAAGGTCTATCGATTCGGAGACACATTGATCGCGCTTATTCATTCTCGGTGTTTGTCAGGGGCTTGCTGAGAGGATTGTGCCCCATGGAGTTCTTCCGCGAGCACCCTATAAGGTAATTCTTTCCCCCTTTGTCTAGAGATGATATTTTTCTATGCTCGGAATCTATTTTTCTGTGCATGCTTTTTGCTAGTCATTTCTTGTGTGCTTTCGCATGGTTATGCCCACCTCGATTCCTCAAAACCTCATGGCAATTCATTTTGTATGCATTCGCAAAGATCGTCCTTCTTGTGTTTAGATTCTTGTTTGTTTTGTGACACTTTGCTTGTAAGATCTTTTATACTCCAGCTCCAGCTCTTCCAAACTCCAGGATTCCTGTTTGTTTTGTGACACTTTGCTTGTAAGATCTCTTATACTCTGCTGCTTTTGCTTTCCAGCTTCTTCCAAACTCCAAACATTACTTTTACTGATTTTTTTCTTTGCGTTTCAGCTGTTTGGATGCCCGCTTTCCACTGGTGCAGTAAGCTTGGGCACGAAAGAGCTTGTTTCCGGTGGCAACGTTGCTCAAAAGGCCGTGTCAAGGTGGCTGTACGTGTGCTCCGGTTGGGTGTTCGGCATGGTTGTTCTTGGAGGAATGACCCGGCTGACGAGATCGGGGTTATCCATGACGGACTGGAAATTTACAGGGAGTCTGCCTCCTTTGTCGGCCGAAGAATGGGAGAAGGAATTCGATAAGTACAGACAGTCGCCCGAATACAGGACGTAAGTTAACTGGTTCTCTTCTTGCTTTAATTCATATAGTAGCGCTCGTGTATGTTTTGTCCTGCAGAGTTAACAAGGGAATGAGCTTGGACGAGTTCAAGTTTATCTACTGGATGGAGTACGCGCACCGGATGTCCGGTAGAGCACTTGGTGTTGTGTTTGCGCTCCCCTTCGGCTATTTTCTCGTCAAAGGCTACATCACCAGGGAACTTGGAGCTCGACTTGGTGTGCTTCTTGCTATGGGTGCTGGACAGGGACTCGTTGGCTGGTGGATGGTTAAAAGCGGCCTTGAGGTACTGCGGTTCTGTCCTCCTTTTTCCTGCAAACTTTTATCTCTCTTAGGAGCCTGCTACTGAAGGAGGTCACGCAAGAGTGAGCCCGTATCGCCTTGCTACGCACTTGGCATCAGCGTTCGTGATATACTCTGGATTACTTTGGACAGCACTCTCTGTGGCTTCTCCCTCACCACCATCGCCACATCTCCCGCAAGTGGTGCTGCAATCAATGGCGAGGATGAGACGCTTGGTGCTTCCAGTTTCCGGGCTGGTTGGACTGACTGCCTTGTCCGGGGCCTTCGTCGCAGGAAACGATGCGGTAAAGTTCACAGTTCAATGACATGACCGAGAAAAATACTTCTGTACAGGGACGCGCATTCAACACTTTTCCGAAAATGGGAGATGATTGGATTCCCGAGGGCATTCTTGCACTTCAGCCAACTATAAAGAATTTCTTCGAGAATACCGCAACCGTGCAGGTAAACGCCAAGCTTTTCCAATACTATATTCTTTGCCTCTTCTTTCCTAGCACCTTGTTTTCAACAGTTCAACCATCGTGTTCTTGCGACGACGACTTTGCTGAGCATCGGGGCCGTCTGGCTGGCCTCGAGAGGCCTCGCATTGCCAGGACCGGCGAGCAAACTCATCACAGGCGCGGTTCACATGACACTTCTCCAGGTTTGAAAATCATCTTTTCCTAGATTTAACTTCGCAAACTCGAACTTAACAGGTTAGTCTCGGAGTCTACGCACTGCTGAGTTACGTCCCAGTACACGCCGGTGTTGCTCACCAAGCTGGAGCTCTCACGCTCTTCACGATCATGGTCGCGCTAGCTCACACTCTCAGGCGCCCCTTTCGTGGAGTCACGGAGACCACAAGGCTGATGAATCGCCTCGGCCAAAGTAAGTATTTTTTGCGTTGTCTGTCTTTCTGGCTCGTTTCTAACGCTTGAATCTCTCGCAGTCTAAATCACTTTCTCGATCGCTTCTAACGCTTGTATCCCTCGCAAACTTCTCTCGAGATTTTTTTTTGTCTCTTCTCTCTTTTTGTTCCTGGCATTCATGGAAGCTCTTTTTTGGTTCCTGGCATTCATGGAAGCTCTTTTTTTAACGTCTAGCTCAAAAGCTCCAACCGCAAAGTCCAAGGCCCGAATCTCATGCGTAGCTTTCACTTCATAGTGGCCTTTGCCTTTGTAAACATGATGTAAATATTCCATCGGCCCCCTCGACGGCTAGGATGCGCGCAGGAATCTTTCATCGTACTGTCATGATTGGTGGACACGTGGCAGCATCCCATTTGTTTCAAGATGCACCATCCTACGGTACAAAGACGCGGGAAGGGAAATTTCCCCCTATTTTGGCAGGTTTAGGGTTAATTAAGCGTGCTGGTATATAAACTCGTGGTGAGGGCACGGTGTGCGCGAGTGGAAGGAATTCTTTTGCGCTAGGGCGGTCAGGTCAGTGGCGATCGCCGCCAAATTCAGGGCTTCGATCGCTTCGATCTTCGCGTCGTCGCGATCCCGGCGCATCGAAATTCGATTCATCTGAGCTCCAGCGGGCCAGGATTTCAGGTATGGCGCTCTCACGGATCGAATGCGCGATCTTATTCTCGTCCTGTTTGGATTCTAAAGACTTTTTTTGACAGGTAGCTAGAAAAGAACGATGAAAATAATGGGTGGAGTTATTTTCTTCCCAGTGGTGGAAGATTTCGATCCCGCTTTGGGCAAAGGCTTCTACTTTGATTCGTAGCAGTCGCTCCCTCGCGCCGGTGCTGTCCGTGGGCGCTGTCCGTGATGGATTCGAAGAAAATGTCGGCGTCGCATCGGCGGAAATGTGGGCTCTTGAAGCACCAGCTTCGTCTCGTGAGGCGGAAAGATTGTGATCGATACGAGGTAGCGCCGATTGCCGATTCACTCTCTTTCGAGAAGGGGTTTTTCCTTTTCATCCGAGCATGCCAGCTTCTAGCTCAAAACATGGAAGGGGTGATTTTGGTTGGCCTAGCCGGACCATCTGGTGCTGGCAAGACGGTCTTCTCTGAGAAAGTTGGGAGCTTCATGCCGGGGATTGGCACGATTTCTATGGACAATTACAACGACTCCAGCAGAGTTATAGATGGGAACTACGATGGTCTGAGCTTCTTTCTCTCTTTCTTTTGTCTAAACCTTTTTTTATGTCGTTGCAGATCCTCGGCTCACTGACTATGACACATTGCTCGACAATCTTCAGAACCTTCGAGCTGGAAATTCGGTGGAAGTTCCTATATATGACTTTAAGATCAGCAAGAGAGTGGGATACAGGTAAGTTTTTTCGGAGTTGCTATTGTAAAACGAAGCATTCCAGGAAGCTTGATGTCCCTTCTTCTCGAATTGTGATCGTTGAGGGAATTTACGCGTTGAGTGAGAAACTCAGGCCTCTTCTTGACTTGCGGGTATCAATCACTGGAGGAGTGCACTTTGATCTCGTAAAGAGGGTCTTACGTGACATAAACAGATCTGGTCAAGAGCCCGAGGATATCATACATCAGATATCCGAGACAGTAAGATTTCTTGCGTACAAAGTCTGGCTATGAGTTTATTCACGAGTATTTATGTCCTCTTGATCTCAGGTCTACCCCATGTACAAAGCGTTTATAGAGCCCGACCTCGAGACAGCGCATATCAAGATTGTAAATAAATTCAATCCGTTTTCTGGATTTCAAAACGCGACATATATTCTCAAGGTTTGTCCCTGTCGGTTATATTTCCATGCTAATTATCTGGAAGCTTTCGTCAGTCTTCCAGATCTGTAACGGAAGAGCAAATACGGAACGTTTTGTCGAATGATCACACTGAAACTATCGAAGAAATATATGACATTTATTTACTGCCGCCTGGCGAAGACCCTGAAACATGTCAGTCATATTTGCGAATGAGGAATAGAGACGGAAAGTATAGTCTCATGTTTGAGGTACGTACGTCTAGGAGTCGAAGGCTCTTGTTGTTGACGTTCTACCTGCTGGTAGGAATGGGTCATCGACGAGCCTTTTATCATATCGCCGCGCATCACTTTCGAAGTAAGTGTACGTCTTCTCGGCGGGTTGATGGCCTTGGGGTATGAAATGGCGACAATTTTGAAGAGGATTAGTCATGTCTTTTCGGATGAGAAAGTAACAGTAAAACTTGACCGACTTGAACAGTTCCAGCGAAAATACGTACAGGTTAGACTACATAAATTTCATCACATTGATCTCATTAAATGTTCATTTAGGTGCAAGGGAAGGAGAGGTCTGTGGTGTCCGATTGTGGAAGCAAGCTCGGGCTTGACAATCACTATGTTCCATGCTCTTATATCGAGCAGATTCAACTCGAAAAGCTAAATTCAGAAATGGTGAGGAAGATCTGTGTTCTTTCTATGTTTGTTTCTTACTTTTCCTGGGGTAGGCTTTGCCTGAAGATTTGAAGGAAAAGCTAAGCAACGATACACTGTTACCTAGCCCAACGCCTTCGTTCTCCTGGTTGGCAGAAACAAAGCCCGGCATTCGTACTCTTTACAGTCAAAGGTAGCGAATGACAGTCGATGGTATCTTTGCTGTGTTTAAATTTCTATGCAGCTGGACCCGCAATAGTAGCAACAAAGACATCCCCAGGTAAAATTCTACGACACTGGAATGCTCATTATCTCAAGCCGAGTCTTTCGCAGAGAACCTCTTTTTATGTCGCGTAAAGGACATAATGGTAAGAAGTCCCAACATCTGTGGATAGAGGCCAATGGGAAGAAGGAGGAACCCGAGCCTCAGTCCCACATAGTAGACGATCAGGTAACTGAATGTCTCACAAGTTTTCTTCTCAAGCTCGACTGACTTGGTTTCAGGATCAAGTACGTGTCTCGGAACAAATGGCTAGCATAAACGAGCGCTTAGACGAGGTGTTGTCCCGGTTAGTAGAGCTGGAATCGAAGCTACCAGCGGCCGTGACCACCAGCGTGTCGATCCAAAGGCAGAATTCGGCGTTCGTAGGCTCGTTTGGAAGCAATGGTCCCTCAGCGTTTCTCGCAAACGGGAACGCAAACGGGCACTCATCTCCCTCCGTGCCTCTACTGCAATCTAGCTCCGAGGCCTACATTCTAGAAGAGGTAAGTTTGTCTACTTGGATGGTTTCATGGTCCTGGACTTAGCGTGCTTTCTTCCAGATCAAAATTCTTTCGCGAGGCCAGCGGCACTTGGCCAATCAGCTGGACATGCTGAGCAATCTCATGCACGAGAAGTATAGCTCGAGCAAGAAGAAGAGCGCAAAGGCGAGGTTTAAGGCTGCGCTGAGAAACATGAGAACGAGCAGCGCGGGGCTGGCCTCGGCCGCGGCTGCGGCAATGGGATTGACGACGCTGGCCGCAGTGGTCGTGGTAAAGTTTTGGAGAAGATCGTCCCTTTGATCAGAGAGAATTCTAGTCGCATTGATCTAGAAGAACAGTTCTCTATCTAGAGGAGTGATCCAGCGAGCGAAGATTTTCTATGAAGAACGATCCACGAGGTGGGAATAAATTATATAGCTTGGGGGAAGTCTGGCCAGTTTTGTCGTAACTACAAATGGGAAATATTTTTAAAGTTAACTAGGGTTCTTCTATAGCTAGGGTTTGTGGCGATGGCGCGGAGCCATGCAGCGGTGCAAGGGTGAGGAGTTCGCAGCGCATTGCATGGAATCTAGCTCCCGCGAGCGCCCGGGAGTATGAATCGGTGGAATAGATCGAGGTAGCGGAGTGGCAGCGGCGATGGAGCTCCAAATGCAGCTCGTTCAAGCAGTCCATGTCCTGAATCACGACATGCTGTCTTGCAACAGAGTCGCTGCGAATCAATGGCTCGTCCAGTTCCAGCAGACGGACGCTGCCTGGCAGGTCGCCACGGGAATTCTCACAGCGGAGGCGCTTAACATCCACGATTTCGAGGTGGAATTGTTTGCCGCACAGATTCTCAAGAGAAAGGTATGCTAGCTAGAGTAGAAGAACAGAGTGGAATTTTTCCATCGCGGTTTTGGTTGTAGATTCACAGTGACATTGGGACGCTGTTGCCTGATGGGAGGCGCGCATTGCAAAATGCGCTGCTTGTGTCGGCAACCAAGCACAGCTCGGGACCCTCGCAGGTTTGCTTTTCTTATTTCGTTCCTCTCTTGAAGTGTTCTTGTCTTTACAGCTGCTGACTCAAATTTGCCTTGCGCTATCTGCGCTGATTTTTCGATCGCCAGAGGCTCGGAGTCTCATACAGCAGCTGTTTGGTCGCTTGTATGAGTTGCAATGCCAAGGCAGCGGGAGCCATGCTGTGCTGGAGCTTCTTACAGTGCTTCCAGAGGAAGTCACGGAGGAAAAGACTATCGTTGCCAACGTTAATTCAGATCACAGGAGGCAATTCAGTGACGAGGTATGTCTTTCCATCTCTCTTTCAGTTTCCTCCAACCATTGTTTCATATGGAACAGCTACTTTCGCATTCTTCTTCTGTTCTGAAGTTCTTGGTACATCTCACTGAGAATGAAGCGCATTTTTACACTGTAAGGAGCAAAATATTGCGCTGTTTTCTAAGCTGGGTAATATCGATCAAAATGTCTCATGCTAGAGCTGATCGTGACCGTCAAAACAGGTGCGCATTGGGTGTTTATTGGAAATTGATCAGCTTGCAGTTCCTAGCCATCCTCTTATTGCTTTTGCATTTGCTTGCCTCCAGGTATAAGATTGCAATGTGACGGCCTATGATGATAACTCGCAGGTTCGTGAATCCTTTTCGGTTGCCATTGAGGTTCTTGCGGAGCTTATTAATCGGCACGAGGTATACAAATTTTTTGTTGCAAGTGCCTTTCATAATTCTTCCGTTCAGGTTATACCGCCAGCGGTTGTGCTGCAGATGATCGTAGTGAAAGATACGTTGCTTTTGCCGGCCCTTGGAACTGGTAACGAAGTTGTTGTCAAAGGCCTCTGCTGGTTGATGGCCGAGCTCGGGCAATCTGTAAGTTATTCCCATCTTCGCTGTTTCGACGACTTTCTCTTATAGGCACCAGGATTGTTTGCACGAGGAACACCTGATGTTTTGTCTCTTGAGGAGGCGATGTTGGGGTAAGTGTTTATGCTTTATAGGTTTTAACTGGTCGAAGCTTCGCAGATGTACTCGGTTTCAAAGCTCAAATTGGGAGGTAGCTGAAACAAGCCTTCCGTTCTGGTAATACCAGCAGAGTAAATAGTCTACCGACGTAATTTCTTTGAAGCTCCTTTGCAGGTCCGCTCTTGGTGATTATTTGATTAACCTGGGTTTTGAGAAACAAAGCGGCTTGAGGGCATATATTCCGCTCTATATTTCTTTATTAGACGCGCTTGTTTTGCGAGTTCAGGTATAGCTTTGGCGCTCATTCAATATCTTAACGTTTTGTTGCACCAGGTCGGTCCGAAATCATATAATGAAGATGATATTGATGGGAGTACTGGCTTGCCCGACAGTTTAGCACAATTTCGAATAAATCTGGAGGAAACAACAACGACTGTTTGCCGACTCCTAGGACCAACTCAGTACGTAACTCAGGTTTGTTAGTTTGTCGTTCCGGTATCTTGCTTATGTTATGGGTTTTGCAGCTTCTCAGTCAGATTACTTTAGAACTCCCAGTTTTGTGGCAAGTTATAGAGGCACAATTCTTTTTGCTCTATGCTGTAAGAGTGTTTTTGTTTCTTTCGAGCCGTTTCATATACTACTGTATCCAGGCCTCCGAAGCTATTTTGGACGGACCAGCATTGGATCTTTCCAGCCTTGTAAATGTTTTCCTAGCCATAAGTGAGGAAAGGCCGGAGACGGTAGCTGGATAGGACCTGGTATTTCTTTCCTGCTTTGTGATGTCGTCACTAACGTTGAAACTGTTCA